AGAGAGAGAGAGAGAGAGAGAGAGAGAGAGAGAGAGAGAGAGTGTAGTGTAGGTAGACTGCGGCCTCACAGTCCATGCAGCACACATGACGACAGCACAAAATTAATAATCTCCCTTAGTCCTTGAGAGCTCATCGATAAAAAACACAAAATTGAGCTCTCATCCCCCATTCCCTTATCCCTCGTTGTCTCCCATCATTCCCAGTACACCCTCGCCATCGCCATTCCGTTGCCACCTTCTCCTCCCATGAGCTTCGTAGCACCCTCGACGCGTTTCATCCGCCCACGTGCGGACTCTTCAGGAGGTGGAATGAAAATTCCCGCAGCTCAGAGACAGCCTCGGCCGTGCTGTCAGAACTATGTACCCTGGTACCCACCCCAACCGGTCCCAACGGTCCCCACCGAACGGCAGCCTATTTCAAGAAGTAATTTTTTAAGGAAAATCGAATTCAAGAAACCCTGGTCTAGCCGCCAGGTACATACCGTCGGTCCCAGGTTCCCTTCCTACCCGTTGACCACTTAGGCCCCCCTATGGGCGCGATACCCAGGTACCATTCGAACCCCCCCGTTTCCCTCCCCAAACTAATCTACCCTTCTTCCTATCCCGTGGGTCCTACCCGACCCCGTGCTTGTCACTCACCCTAGTCGAAATCATCCGCATATTTTTAAGTGCCTTCAGCAGTCATTGTAACGTCGTGTCTTCCACAGCCTTGACCAATTTGGCCAAGGCACCAAGAGAGACCTCAGGAGCATAGCCCCAGAGGTTTGCTTCCCATACCGCATAAGCGATGGATCCGATGACCAGAGCCTGACTYGAGGTTGACGTCCACAGTCTCTTCAAAGTCCCAGCCAAAGCTGACTTTTTTGTCTTCTTCTCCGAATATGAAYTGTAATCCTGCATCGTCTGGTACGTGAGCTTTGCCTCCTTCCTAAGTGAGATCAGATTCTTCGTCTCAGGCACGTACAGTACACGCAGAGGACCCTCCAAGAGGTACATGGTACCCCCGAGGAATTTCCAGTAGTCCTTTGAATCATCCTTCCTGACCAAATGCAGATTGCTGTCATAGATTTCTTCAAAAGTCCGGAATACATCACTGCATCGTTCCAAACCCTCTCTCTGCCGTTCCCCCACGATCAACGTGATATCGTCAACAATCCTCCAGCCTGCGACCAACCTCCGGTCCGTCCCCATCCCTGCCAGAAAGTGGTACTCAGCCATGGCACAAGTAATGGTTGCCAGTATGGGGCTGGTGGACTTCCCCATAGGGATCCCCGACACCTGGCGTCTGATCTCGTCACCGCATGTAATGAACGCATGCTCCAAATCGTAGTTCACCATCTTGTACATTATCTCAAAACTGATACCAACATACCCGTCCGTTGTCCGCTGGGTCTTGCTGAGAGTACACATCTTACCCCTCCTTGATACCTTCACTTGCTTCCAGCCCCTGTTTGCATACCAGCTCAAAAGCTCCCAGACTGCTCTCCTCACTTCGGTATGCGTGATCTTAGTAAACATGTCCTTAATGTCATAACATCGGCCTTTGGCTCCTTCACATTGCTCCGTAGTAAGCCTCTTTGTTGCAGTCCGAAGCCGCTCTGGCAATTCTTGTATGGAATTCAAGAAGAACGACTGTTCGGTTGGAAACATCTTCATGAGATAGTGCAGACTCCTCCCTACCCTCCTCTGAGCCAGTCCCGCCGGGTCATTGGTTGCAGGCGCTATAGGTCTCCATCGTGTGAGATCCTTATCTTTCGGAATCACGTAGGCCTTACCAATCCGGCCATCAGTCTTCCATTCCGCCACTTTCAGCAGGCCTTCCCCTTCGAAATCCTGCTTCGCTTGCCGAATCACTTCCTTCTCCTCGTACGGAACCTTGGCATAGTCAGCGTTCCACGAAAACATCTTACCGAAAGCGTGCCTGTACAGCACCGGGCACACGACTGCAGTATCGCCTTGGTTCCGATCGATCGGGGCAAGCACGAGCCCTTGAAATCTCCTACACCATTTTGCGACAGTCACATCTTCCCATGTCTCTCTTCCACCGTCCTCATCCTGTCCATTCAAGAAGCCACCTGCAGGTATCCGCACGTCCCCCTCGCAGCTCTTCAAATGCCTTGTAGCCTCCACGATCGCATTCACGAAATACCCGCTGCTCTTTGTCTCTGCGTGACACGTCACGTTTTTAGCATTTCTGACAAATGCTGGGATATCTGGCAAATCCGAGAAACGTGTCATAACGTGTCCCTCATGGATGGGCAGGTCCAAGCCCTGACATACGCAGGTCTTCTCACTAACATTCGCATGTCTCCGGTGATTATGAATAATCTCCCCGACGGTCCTGTTCCGACACCAAGTAACCCGAATCCTGCTCTTAATCAAATTCGCAATAGCTTGGTCTGCTACGCACTTAGTCACCACCTCTTCAGTCGTCTCCCTAATTCTTCTCTTCACGATCCGTCGGTCATATAACACCTTCACTTGCACTCTCTTTCTTACACCCATCCTTGTCTTCTTCCGAATGGCACGATCGATCTTCAAACGTAGATCATTCTTCGTCTTCTTGTCACCAAAAAACCCTGCGGTACGATACAAACCAACCAGCTGATTCGTGGAACGTGCCGCCAAACCTTTAAACAAAAAAGGTTTCTTTAGCATGTCCCGTAGCTCCTGTAGCCTCTTTGAAGTCGTCGTAGGTGTTCTGGTGATCCCCAGTAATGTGCACACCGTCCCTCTCTGCAGCTCTCCCTTCGCGGTAGCCAGTTTCTTCAGCCTTCCGTCGATTCTGACCTTCGTCCTTCCAAACAAGTTTTTGATCTTCTTCCACCCGTCTGTCCATATTTCTCCACCCTGGAACACTATCGTCCTCTGTACCTTCGCGTCTTCCTTCCACACCTCATCCAGCCACGCCAGAAACGATGTCCTTGCAGTCTCACATCCTCCTGGTGTAAAGCTGACAGGGACTCTCACTGTCGTTGGTCCATGCCTCAATCTCTTCCTCTCTCTCCTTCCCTTCCTCTTGCGACTTCTCATTCCTACTTCACTTCCTTTCGTGTTACACGTATTCAAACCAGGTGAGAAGTCACGGATGAGATGCAGCTCGAACGCTCTATCGTCCGCTTCGTTTGCATGTCTTAGCGGAATAATAACAAAATTTCCCACGCCCGAGCGTCTTATCCAGCGGTACAACTTCGGCGAGTTGCCAATGGCTTCAGAACTTGCTATAGTCATATGTTCTTGCCAACGCTGCATCACAGACCTCACCGTACTTCCAACGAACGTCTTCTTTGACCACGGGCTTGCGATCACATAAACCCCAGCTTGCTTCAAATCAAGCATCTCCGGCGAAATATCGAAACGAGCCATATACTTCTGAAGCCATGGAATCTGCCCTYTCATCGCCAGCAGTACCGTTGTCGACGTGATCACCCTTTCGACCTCTCCCAGGAGATCGCTACWCTTGCCCTGCCCCCAAAGAGCCGACCTCAATCTTAAGTGGGAGTTCAGAGTTTCCCACAAGATGTCAATCGTAGGAGGCGCAGGTAGTCAGTCGGATCCCTGCTCCTGCGGAGGTGCCGATTGGAGCGTCACACGTGCTGGTGCAGATCTGACGGACGACCGTGTTTCCCACTTGCTGCACTTCTTCTCCGGTCCCGGCACTTCATCAACGAGTTTCACCGTTGCCTGATCACTGTCGATGCCATGGTCCTCCGACTCTTCGAATCCCTCATACGCCTGCATCACCTGTTCTCTAGCGAGCATATCGATGATATCTGGTTTCTTCGTGTAGCGTATCCCCTTCTTCTGACAGATCTTGCGTAAAAGGAAAGCTTTCTTTGACGACAGGATCTTCTATGTAGATAGATAATAGTTGATAATTCCTTCTCTCGAGCATTTCGCGGCAAGTCCTTTATASCCGTTCTCCATCGGCGTCTTTGGTTCCTCTCCGTCCGTACGGCCGTTCTCAAAATTCAGACCTCTCCCACTTGGACTCCGACAGTAATCCCGCACGTTACGAGCTTCCTCAGATCCCATCCCTCGAAAATTTCGATCCTCTTCGAACCCCGCTCCTACATCGTTGGCGTTTCTAAGCACGTCATCGCCCTCTTCATAGTTACACCTCGACTTCTGCCTTGCCCTGGAACTCGCCCCCCGTTTTGTGTGAGTGTTCTTCTTCTTCTCCATAGTATTCTTCTTTTCCGTAGTCACCGGTTTCTTTCCCTTCGCATTACGTCTAGCCTTCCGTGCCTTTTTCCTCTTAATCTTTAGAATCGCTCTCCGAAGCTCTTCTTCCGAATCAGTCGTATCTGTCTCCGAATCTTCCAGCATTTCGTCGTCTGATTCAGATGAAGATGATGGTGATCGGCCCCGCTTCTTCGTCGATCGTACTGGCGTGTTGATCCGGACCGTGCTCCTCATTCGTGCCTCTTCGGCTTTAACGCGAGCCTCTTCGGCCTTTTGCTTCGCCTCCTCCGCTTTTGCCCTCGCTTCCTCCGCCTTGGCTTTCGCTGTAGCGGCCTCTTCTTCCACCCTCTTGTTCTGCTTCCTCCATTTCTCTTCCATCCCCGCTTCCAACTGAAGGTGCATCTCCTCGGTTCTTCTAATAAAACCATGCTCCCATCTTTTCTCGTTCTCTTCTTGGATCCTCCGCTGTTCCTCCTCTCTTCTGCGTTCCTCGGTTTCACGTTTCTCCTGTATGATCATCCTGAAGTGCTGTCGCATCTCGTCCATCTCGTTGTCGTCGTTACGTCCTCGCTTCGTCCAGCAATCCCTTGAATAGTGGCCGGGCTTCCCACATGTATAGCAAATTATGTAAGGTCTCCCGTTGGTACCTCCGTTATTACCTGTCCCGCCAAATCCGTTACTACCATTCCTACCATATCCACTCCCGTTGTTTCCACCCTGGCTCCCGTAGGTGTTCGACGGACCCTGTTGATTCTGCCCCCCCTCGTACTGATTCTGCCCACCACCGTACATCTTTCTGATTTCCGACTCCGAAAAAACGATCCCAATGTACCTCGCAATGTCACGATCGCACCTTACCTTCTAAAATCGACTGTCTACCTCGCCACATAAAATTACTTATTCCCTACTGTTGTCTCGTTTCTTCCCCTATTACTCACCTTACTTAACACCGCTCGTAGACACAGCCACCTTGAAGCNCCACATAAAATTACTTATTCCCTACTGTTGTCTCGTTTCTTCCCCTATTACTCACCTTACTTAACACCGCTCGTAGACACAGCCACCTTGAAGCTTGCAATACTCCCGGTTACTGTGCGCCTCAGAGTGTAGGTAGACTGCGGCCTCACAGTCCATGCAGCACACATGACGACATCACAAAATTAATAATCTCCCTTAGTCCTTGAGAGCTCATCGATAAAAAACACAAAATTGAGCTCTCATCCCCCATTCCCTTATCCCTCATTGTCTCCCATCATTCCCAGTACACCCTCCCCATCGCCATTCTGTTGCCACCTTCTCCTCCCATGAGCTTCGTAGCACCCTCGACGCGTTTCATCCGCCCACGTGCGGACTCTTCAGGAGGTGGAATGAAAATTCCCGCAGCTCAGAGACAGCCTCGGCCGTGCTGTCAGAACTATGTACCCTGGTACCCACCCCAACCGGTCCCAACGGTCCCCACCGAACGACAGCCTATTTCAAGAAGTAATTTTTTAAAGAAAATCGAATTCAAGAAACCCTGGTCTAGCCGCCAGGTACATACCGTCGGTCCCAGGTTCCCTTCCTACCCGTTGACCACTTAGGCCCCCCTATGGGCGCGATACCCAGGTACCGTTCGAACCCCCCCGTTTCCCTCCCCAAACTAATCTACCCTTCTTCCTATCTTGTGGGTCCTACCCGACCCCGTGCTTGTCACTCACCCTAGTCGAAATCATCCGCATATTAACGTTGTGTCTTCCACAGCCTTGACCAATTTGGCCAAGGCACCAAGAGAGAGAGAGAGAGAGAGAGAGAGAGAGAGAGAGAATTTTCCAGCCATGCACAGCGAGAGGTAGATAGAGGCTACTTCGATCTATTGGATGAGCAAAATCGGGATGGATCTTCCGCTAGAACACGGATATATGTGTGTGTGTGTGTGTGTGTGTGTGTGTGTGTG